CTCCCTCCTCCCGGCAGCAACTGGACCTCAGGCCTCGTCGCCTCCAGCCTCCAAACCCCCAACAACAACACCAACACGTCCCCCTCCCCCCACGGACACAGCCCCACCACACCCGCAGGCTACCTGACTCCCAATCGAACCTGTCCTCAGCAGGTCAGCAGCCCCTCCCCTCTGATTAGCCCTCTCACAACCACCCCTACCTCTTTTATGTCACCCAGGATGCAACGGGGCAGTCCTGGGTCAGGAGGGAGCCCTCGAGTACCGGGGAACCCCTTCTCTCCTTCCACGCCGGGCCTCCAATCTCCAGTGGATGGGAGTAGCGTCAGCGGGGGGTCAAGCTTCTCCATGTCCTCTCCGGTTCTTCAGAGACAAGCCAGTACACCCACCGGCTCTTCATCTGCAAAACCAGAAGGAGGAGGGGGTGGAGAAAGAGGGGGAGAAAGATGGAGAGAGGACTATGTTAAAGCCCCCCTTCCTTCTGCCTCACTGCTGGGAAACCCCAGACTCAATCAGCTCTTGGACAGCAATGGGATGGGAGCTGAGTCTATTAACAACAACAACAACAACAACAGAATCCATCGCACCGCATCACCTCATCCTCCGAACCCGCCCCCCTCAGCCCCGCAGTGCCCGGCGTCCCACAGCACTCTGACGGAGCGACACAAGATCCTGCACCGGCTGCTCCAGGACACCAGTCCCAGCGACGCCTCCACGGAGGAAGGACTGAACAAAAACGACGTTGAGATCAAGAAGGAGCCGCCTGCCAGCCCGGCTCTGAACGCAGCCAAGGCCGGATCCAGAGAGCCTCAGGACCACCAGCTGCTGCGCTTTCTGCTGGACACAGACGAAAAGGTGACCAAAAGAATATAGAAATCTCTCCATGGCATAGTTCAAAATCTAGAAAAGGTCACTTATTAGAGGTGTATCTCCTCGAGTCTTGCTCAATTGTCCCTCTTAGCTCCTTAACAGTTGAGGTGGCGATCAACAGCAAAGATTACAAACCATGATTTAGTCATCTAATATTATACGATATGATAATACTTTAATGGTCAGATCAAGTCTGAAATTGGACTTGCGTCACAGCAGCTCCATGTGTAACATCAACATAAATAAATATCAAGAAACAATACATGAAAAACAAACATTTAACATGACAGCACAATCAGTGAGAGAAACATGAGCAACTATAGTTGATCATGACATATCGGGTATGGATTTGTGCTCTGATGCTTTATGCTTTATGAACGTGGACAACAGAGAAACATATTCTTCATGACCAAAGTTGGAATTGAAATAAAAAAGGAAAGTGAAACTTATGCTCGTCACCCTCTCCCTCCGGTCCACATTAATACAAATGATCCCAATACGTATGATTGTATGAAAAGATCTTCAAATCAATACAAATGTATTTATTATAAACGTTAGTCCTTAACATCTATCACTGTGTATATCACCATTCAAGCATCTTTTAAAAGTTGAACAAACCCCACACAGCTCAGTAAACACTGTGAAATGTTGACTTTATTTGATCATTTCAGTAAAAACTAACGTTCATATTTCTCTTTTTGATTATAATACTGATGAACGTTCAAAACAAAGCACTTTGGCAACTTACCACATACGTTTTAAAATGCTTAATAAGCACCGTAACTTTCATGATATCATTTCTCGTCATAATCGGTTGTTTCCGTGAACGGCCGACTGTTGTGTGACGGCAAATGCTGCAGCAGCAAGGCATTGTGGGGCAGCATTTTCTCCTCTCCTTTCGGTTAGGGAGGTCCAGTGGTTCCTAAGCTAAAGGAGGTTATAAAGGAAGTTTGAAACCTCCTTTCCTATCATCTAGAGAATTCGAACGGCACTTATCATGGCGGCCACTGAGGGACTTCCAGGTCATTTCACTCCGTTAGGAAGGTTCCTAAGCTAAATGGACTATTCGACTTCAGCCCAGGTGTGAACGCGATCGGCTCTTAGTTCCATGGGGGTACTAAGTGCTGGGAGTGCTGGGAACTAAGTGCTGCAAAGTACTTGGTGTGAAAGCGGCTATTAAACTTACCTTAAAGATTCGTAGACAGTTTCTTCCCGCGGGCAGTGAGACTGTTAAAAAATTGAACTGTTGAAACAACTTCAAACATTCATCTGCTACTCAGTAGTATGTATCTAATACCTAATATATATATATCATTCCAATAACTTGTATATAGACTCGTACTGCACTATTCCACATCATCACTTTATTTTATTTTATAACTATTATTCTTTTTGTATTGCTCTTGCTCTTATTGTTATTATGTTATTATGTTGCATTGTTGGAGAAGCCTGTGACATAAGATTTTCAACTACATAATTACTCTGTAGCTATGTCAGATTGACAATAAAGAACCTTGAACCTTGAACCTTGAACTTGAACTAATAGTTAATCTGTTTTTTAAGGATTTGGGAGACCTGCCTCCTCCATCAGCTCTCAGCCTCCAGACGGTGAGGGTGAAAGTGGAGAAGAGAGCCAGCGTGGACGGAGGACCCTGTGTTTCTGCAGCATCAGGAGGAGGAACGTCTAAAGCTCCAGGAATCTGCATCAGCCCCATATCCAGTCCTGTGGGAGAGAGGAGCCGCAGAGACAGCAGAGACTCCACGGTACAGATGCTGCGAAAGTCATGGTGTTTTGTAATAACTCTAAATAGAAACAAAGATTTGACCTCCAGCATTTATCCTGGTTCAATGTTCTTGTGTTAAGAATAGAGAAAAGTGAGTAAACTAAAACGGTAAAAGCTGTATTAGGTTTTCCCTTTAAATTGTTAAATGTGTTTGAGGTCATCTAGAAATGCTTTTCCATTTTAAACACTTTTCCACTATATTTTCCTAGGAGTTTAATCATTTTTCATGCAAAAAACGCAAATAATGCTCTAAAATATGAATAAAAACATAGCCTTGGAATTCGATTAACTGGGGAGGACATTTCTTTTGCATTGTTCTTGCATTTTAAAAACCGGGTTTGGCACGGCACGCTTAAACCGTGCTACTCGCTGCAGTGGAAATGCGCAATAAGTGTTTTAAACCACATCAGACTCTTTCCAACAGGGACCCGTCAGACACTCAAACACCCAAATCATAGCTGTAACGACGTGCTGCTTTTAATGCGTTTCCTCCCCTCTGAGCTGCCGTTTACGCAGCGCTCGGTGAGAAAAAGGGGCTTCACCACCGAGCACTGGAAATGTCAGCCATTGTAAATCATGTTGAATGTTTATTTTCTTGGACTTCGCTTCCACTGTAGGCTCGGCTACCAGCTGCAGCCTTTGAAGCTCGCTGACCTTTGACCTTTTGTCTCTCTCTGTCACCGATCATCTCCCCCCCCCCCCCCCGGCCCTCCTGTTTTTTCCTCTGCCACACGTTATTCTTTAATTATTTCACACCCTCCATTCTTCCATCCTGTGTTTTTCCTCATCTCAATTTGTTTTCTGTCTTCAAAAAACAATGGGCTGTTAAACCTACATATTCTTTTAATTACTTAACTCATATGCAATTTATAAACATTTGAATACACTTGATAGCTTTAAGCGCCATTAATCTTAGCTATTTATCCCCCCCTGTATGGTTGTTTATGTTCGTCTGTCCTACTGGCGTGATTTTATTGTCTGTATTCGTTTATTGCGCACTCTTGATAGGATTGCACTCCAAATCTTGTTGTACAGTAACTATTAACTATTTTCTATTCATTACATTAATGCACATCATGCGAACAATATCTTCTCCTTTTTTAAAGTGGACCTATCATGCTATATTTGAATAATATAGTGTAGGACCATACCTATATAAGGCATATTCATACTTTTTTTTTTTCAAAATACCAAACAGATCATGCATTTTAGCCATGCCTCATTTCGCTCAATTTGACCATTTCTGGCTCTGTTTTTGCAAGGGCAGATTCAGTGAGAACAGCACCATCTACAGGCCTGGCATATGTACTACAGCGTCTCCAGCGCTTTCGAACGGCAATAGCCGTGGTTGTCTCCTCCTGATTGGTGGAGTTGGCCCAATAGCCGTAGCGCCACCGTCCTGTCGTCAGGACAGTGTTCAAATCTGGATCAGTTTTTATCAGATCCGTTGCAGCCCCTTTTTTAGAGATTTGGGTATGGAGGAAAATAGAGAGGGTTGTGTTTTCTGACACTTGGTGAGTTCCCTGGAACACCGGGGACACATATTCATGTATAAAAGACGTACAAAAGTGCATTTTGCATGATAGGTCCCCTTTAAATGTAAATCCTGCACAACCCTTTGAACATGCTGCACATTTCTGCTGCTCCACACTACCTCTTTTTAAATCTGCTCAACTCTCCACTTTGAATACAGTATCTGCCATATGTTATTATAATTTACTGTCCTCAATTTCTCACGTCGTGTCACGTGACTTGAATTTTGAATTGAGCCGTCCCTTATATATACACACACACACAATAGACAATAGTAACGTTTGTCAATACATGATACATCATTTACCTAGTATCAAATCACCGCTGCCGACAGGACACCCCTCCACTCACTTTTTTTGTTATAGCACAACCACGGGAACTTCATTTTCCAGGTCCCAACAAACTTATTTTTGTTGTGGCTGACCGGTTTCTCTTCGTGGCTTACGGGTGTCAAAGTGACATTGTCGGATGCCGTAGGCTCTGGATGGGGTGGGATGCTCTCTAGGCGACGCATGGGGCTCGGGCTGAGAGCCAACGCCAAGGCTCGCCGGCAGTACACTTTGTTCCGTCACAGGAACACGCTTTGCTGGCGGCGAAAATAATCCCACCAGACTGCTTTGCCCCTCCAACAGAGGGATGTCCTTGTCCTTTTTCCTTTTCGTCATTTCAAGCGATTTCTTTTTTGGACGCCCTCGGCTCGAGTTCAGGGCGTTCCGAGCTGAATAAGGGCGTTGAATGGCGGCAAGACGCCCGCCTGGCGGAAACGCTGCTGGGACCTAAGATTTTCATTGATATATCTACACTGTAGCTATGTACGAATGACAATAAAAACCTTGAATCTTGAATCTCTGCGTTTCCCGCCCTCAGATGTCTGGAGGTCCTGTTGATGTGGACCCTCTCTCTCAGCTGCTGCCTGGCCTTAGAGGGGCCAAACAGGGCAGTGAGGATCCAGCCCCCCCCTGGAGGAGGCCACAAACTCCACTCTCCGGCCCCCAAACTCCACTCTCCGGCCCCTCTTCTCCACTCTCCGGCCCCCCAGCTCCACTCTCCGGCCCCCCAGCTCCACTCTCCGGCCCCCCAGCTCCACTCTCCGGCCCCCCAGCTCCACTCTCCAGCCGCTCAGCTCCAGTCCCCTCTGTCCCAGTCCCAGTTGAAGTCTCCGTCCCCCCAGCTCCACTCCCCCTCCCCACAGATCAGACTGCAGTCCCCCACTCAGCTGCAGCCCGGAGAGAAAAGCACTACCCGCAACGTAAATGTGAAGCGAGAGGCCCCCGGCACCCCTAACCCCCTAAGAGGTACGTTCATAACCTGGCAGGGAGAGGAGGGAGAGGAGGGAGAGGAGGGAGAGGAGGGAGAGGAGGGAGAGGAGGGAGAGGAGGGAGAGGAGGGAGAGGAGGGAGAGGAGGGAGAGGAGGGAGAGGAGGGGAACATAATACACAGCGTACATATAGGCATGGTACAATATATTACTATTTGTAGTAATCATGCAGTATGATATATGGAAATGGCCTTGATCAATTTTGCTGACCTGTTTTGTTTACATTTAAATTGTCAAATTAGTGTTTGAAAAAGAAAAAAATGTTTGTTTACAAAATAGTATTATGGTCCAAAAGCTCTCCATTCATTTATTGACCTACCCTCTGTTAGTCTTTGTGCCCCTTAGTGGCTATTGGCAGTCATTACAGTGTCAACACACCACACACATAAATACATTACATATACAAATATTCCAGGAGTGCAGAACGCCCCCAAGTGTCTCTGTGACAATATTGAACACTTGCATGTTTGTTTCCCAGGTCTCAGTGATGGCGGCCTGCAGAGTCGGACATCCTTTGATTTCTGCAGCCCTCCCACTTCCAGTCAGACCCAGAACCAGGGAGACCCCTTCCAGACCCCCAAAGACAGCAGCCCCTTCCCAGAGGCAGAAGTCATCAACCCCTTCAGTTCAACCACTGGTAAGTCAGAGAGGATACACACCTAAAAGTCTATTTTGTGAATACGGGTCGGGAACACTTGACACTAAAAGCATTGTTAATCTGACGCCTAAAGGTTAAAGTTTCTTACTCAGCATCACCATTGGTTGTGGTCAGGATGTATTCTGTAACATATATGACTCCAGATGTGATATATGTCTGTATTATACTGTAGAAAGCAAGCTGCACAATGCTACTTTATTGGAGCAAGATAAAAGATTTTGGCTGGAAATCGGAATTTTAAACTGGCGCTAAGTTACTGTTAAAGGTCCCGTGTCATGGCCATTTCTACTGATCATAATTCCATTGTTGAGGTCTACTAGAATAGATTTATATTGTTCAATTTTCCAAACTCACATTGGTTTCTCATACAGCATCTCTGTATAGTATGTGTATTCACTCTCTGTCCTAAACGGCTTGTTGGAGCTCCTGCCCCCCCCCCCTCCCTGTGAGCCCAGAGTGCTCTGATTGGTCAGCTCGCCCACTCTGTTCTGATGAGTCCACCACCGTTACAGCTGAACATCAGTGATTATGTGTTACAATGGCGTTGGCAACCAGTAATGATACCAGTAATGACAAACAGATGAGAATGCTGCGTGGGGTCTGGGTGTCGTGTTGGCGGGACGTTGCGCAGCTCGCTGCTGTGAGGAGCGGACAGTGTGAGCTGGGTTACTGGTGTGGTTTCCTGGTTGCGGCGTGGGGTCTGCGAGACAGCGAAACTCAGCCTGAATACAGCCTGAGCACCATGGACGCGGGAAGGGGGGGTGCTGAGGGGGCTGCAGCACCCCCATCTGTGAGGCTCCACTAGCACCCGCACCCCCAAACGCGGCGCACCTACAGTGTAAGCGCGTCACAGTTTCGCCGCTGAGAGAGTGTGTGTGTGTGAGGAGCCAATGGGTCCATTTGGGTATGGGCACGTCACTGTACCCAGGAAGAAAAAGAGAAATGTCCAACGAGGCGTTCTGGGGCAGCATAGACAGGTCTTTTCTGTGTTAGAGTTTTACTCGCTACAGGGTGTACTTTGAGGGTTTGTGACTCTGCAGACCGTTTACATGCAGAAAAAGCTACATAACACACAAGGGGACGGGTAATAACCGGAAAAGCATGACATGGGACCTTTAATATGAAACATCTAATATATCATTTATGATCTAGAAGAAGTTACAACTGAATGCTGTTTCCAATTTCTTTGTTAATTTATTTTTCCCTCTGTTGTAATTGTGTGCCTGTTTTCAGGCCTTTCTAAAATGGATGCGGGAGACTCCCAGTTCCAGGCTCTGGTTCTGTCTGACGCTTTGTCCTTTGACGGTCTGGGAATACAAGCTCCCCTGGCTTCACCTCAAGAGTAAGCTTTACTGTACTCTCAGTATTTTGTCATTTAATATTGGCTCCACACACACCTCACCTGTTGTTAGATCATCAGGAACATGAGGGATAGATAAAAGAGACCGTTTGCCCATTTCCAAATGCAGAGCCAGTTTGAAATCGGCATGATTGAGTTATAACTAATGATAAATGAAAACAAAAGTATTTGCCCTATGTCCAAAACACACATTCTCCTTTACTTGTCTTAACTACTACAACTCAAAATTGGGTTTTTATGGTTGCTAGCTAGCCTCCTAAAGTCTCATATGAGTGTATGAACCTTTGTAAAAAAAGTGCAGAGCGAGTCATCAAACATTTCAGTTTCACAGGAAGTAAAAAGACAGAGATTTTATAGGTATTTTGATATAAAAAGTTGATTTATTTGAAATATAATGGCCAATTATTGAGATAGATTAACAATTAACACAGTGACACGCAAATGAAACCTGGAAAAATTGTATTTTACTTTCTACTGGGTTTAAAATAAAAAGTTGATTTAACCCGATGATAATACTGTTGTGCAAAAGAGAGGCGAAGTCCCTCCCTTTCCGGGGGACCTCCATGAGACCTTATTTCGGAAAAAGTATGTATTGAAGTCAATGGCGAGAGAAAGATTATCTTTCGATCCCGTTTGAATTGTGCCACGAATTACACATATGATGTTTGTCAATTTAAAAGATAATTTTACAAGTCAAAAAAATAAAAATGTGTCGTAAAACTGTGAAGTAACACTTTTTTTGGTGTGAAACCGCTCAATGAACTACATCTCCCGTCTCGCACCACACACCAAGACGGCCGTCACGTTGGCACATTTCACTTCTTTCTTTCAGAATGAGGCGGAAAGTATTAAAAGAGGTGAAAATCACTCCAAGTCTGGGCATGTTGAGAGCTGTACATACACACAAGGGGAGTTAGTCGGTTCGTAAGAGCCAGCATGCGGGACCAGGATTCTGGGATTTGTAGTCTTTCCAGTTGCGTATTTTTCATAGTCTTATATTTCAACAGTTTTACGACAAACTGTGACTTTTTTGACTTGGAAATAATTTTTTAAAATTGACAAACATCATATGTGTAATTGGTGGCACAATTCAAACGGGATCGAGAGATAATCTTTCTCTCCCCATTGACTTCAATACATAATTTTTCCGAAATAAGGTCCCATGGGTCGGAAGTAGATGTAGACTTCGCCTCTCTATAGAAGCTTCGAATGAACAACCAAGCGAATCTTGTCCAAACTGAACGTGTTTACTTTTGATTAATGTAACAGTTTTCAACAAGAACGGTAGAAAACGGGAAAATGCACTCAACATACTCGTATTCGTTTTTCCAAATCATAACAGGAAGAAGTAAGAGCAGGACGCATACTTGCACTTCAAACTAAAAGCATTTCCTGTGAAACATTTTACCCTTAAGTTCTGTCAAGAAGCAAATAAACAAATGTTTTTACTGCCTTAAATAACATAAGTTACAACAAATACAGTGTAGTAATGTACAACGTTTGTGTGTGTGAGCAGGCAGTGTGTGCCCTGTACTCTGGATGAAGTGCTCGGACCCCCCACCACACCTGAGGGCCGTAACGATGAGAAAGCTCTGTTGGAGCAGCTGGTCTCCTTCCTCAGCGGCACCGACGAGAGCGAGCTGGCTGAGCTGGATAAAGCTCTGGGTATCGACAAACTGGTGCAGGTCAGTGTCTGATTTAAAGATAGTAACACTAGGGATTGTAAGTGCAGTTAGGAAAGGCTAAATACATTTTCATTTAGAATTAATAAACCGATCATTAAAGGTCACCTATTATGCAAAATCCACTTGTTCATGTCTCTTCTACATCAACATGTGTCCCCTCTTCTTCATGTCTCTTCTACATCAACATGTGTCCCCTCTTCTTCATGTCTCTTCTACATCAACATGTGTCCCCTCTTCTTCATGTCTCTTCTACATCAACATGTGTCCCCTCTTCTTCATGTCTCTTCTACATCAACATGTGTCCCCTCTTCTACATCAACATGTGTCCCCTCTTCTTCATGTCTCTTCTTCATCAACATGTGTCCCCTCTTCTTCATGTCTCTTCTACATCAACATGTGTCCCCTCTTCTTCATGTCTCTTCTACATCAACATGTGTCCCCTCTTCTTCATGTCTCTTCTACATCAACAATGTGTCCCCTCTTCTTCATGTCTCTTCTACATCAACATGTGTCCCCTCTTCTTCATGTCTCTTCTACATCAACATGTGTCCCCTCTTCTACATCAACATGTGTCCCCTCTTCTTCATGTCTCTTCTTCATCAACATGTGTCCCCTCTTCTTCATGTCTCTTCTACATCAACATGTGTCCCCTCTTCTTCATGTCTCTTCTACATCAACATGTGTCCCCTCTTCTTCATGTCTCTTCTACATCAACATGTGTCCCCTCTTCTTCATGTCTCTTCTTCATCAACATGTGTCCCCTCTTCTTCATGTCTCTTCTACATCAACATGTGTCCCCCTCTTCTTCATGTCTCTTCTACATCAACATGTGTCCCCTCTTCTTCATGTCTCTTCTACATCAACATGTGTCCCCTCTTCTTCATGTCTCTTCTACATCAACATGTGTCCCCTCTTCTTCATGTCTCTTCTACATCAACATGTGTCCCCTCTTCTACATCAACATGTGTCCCCTCTTCTTCATGTCTCTTCTTCATCAACATGTGTCCCCCTCTTCTTCATGTCTCTTCTACATCAACATGTGTCCCCTCTTCTTCATGTCTCTTCTACATCAACATGTGTCCCCTCTTCTTCATGTCTCTTCTACATCAACATGTGTCCCCTCTTCTTCATGTCTCTTCTACATCAACATGTGTCCCCTCTTCTACATCAACATGTGTCCCCTCTTCTTCATGTCTCTTCTACATCAACATGTGTCCCCTCTTCTTCATGTCTCTTCTACATCAACATGTGTCCCCTCTTCTACATCAACATGTGCCCCCTCTTCTTCATGTCTCTTCTACATCAACATGTGTCCCCTCTTCTTCATGTCTCTTCTACATCAACATGTGTCCCCTCTTCTTCATGTCTCTTCTACATCAACATGTGTCCCCTCTTCTTCATGTCTCTTCTACATCAACATGTGTCCCCTCTTCTTCATGTCTCTTCTACATCAACATGTGTCCCCTCTTCTTCATGTCTCTTCTACATCAACATGTGTCCCCTCTTCTCCATGTCTCTTCTTCATCAACATGTGTCCCCTCTTCTTCATGTCTCTTCTACATCAACATGTGTCCCCTCTTCTTCATGTCTCTTCTTCATCAACATGTGCCCCCTCTTCTTCATGTCTCTTCTACATCAACATGTGTCCCCTCTTCTTCATGTCTCTTCTACATCAACATGTGTCCCCTCTTCTTCATGTCTCTTCTACATCAACATGTGTCCCCTCTTCTTCATGTCTCTTCTACATCAACATGTGTCCCCTCTTCTTCATGTCTCTTCTACATCAACATGTGTCCCCACTTCTTCATGTCTCTTCTACATCAACATGTGCCCCCTCTTCTTCATGTCTCTTCTACATCAACATGTGTCCCCTCTTCTTCATGTCTCTTCTACATCAACATGTGTCCCCTCTTCTTCATGTCTCTTCTACATCAACATGTGTCCCCTCTTCTTCATGTCTCTTCTACATCAACATGTGTCCCCTCTTCTTCATGTCTCTTCTACATCAACATGTGTCCCCTCTTCTTCATGTCTCTTCTACATCAACATGTGCCCCCTCTTCTTCATGTCTCTTCTACATCAACATGTGTCCCCTCTTCTTCATGTCTCTTCTACATCAACATGTGTCCCCTCTTCTTCATGTCTCTTCTACATCACCATGTGTCCCCTCTTCTTCATGTCTCTTCTTCATCAACATGTGTCCCCTCTGTGTAAAGAGACTCTGAAAGTTTCAGGAACAAAGATTCTCTCTCTTTTTGTCCTGATCCATTTCTATAAAAACCTGTCTGAAAATGAGCTGATCAGATTTTGGCCACTTTATGATGTCATAACGATGTTTTGGCTTGTGTAACCATTAGCCAATCAGCAACCAAGGTATTGCATTTTAATTTCTACAAAAGAAACAGACCATTAATATCCCTTTGTTTTATTTTGTCTCTCTTCCCAGGGTGGCTGTTTTGACCCTAACCCTCCGACCTTCAGCACCCAGCAACCCACTGCCCCCCCCAGTCAGATGGACCCTAAACTCCCTTCCTACCCGTCCCAGTTCACCGCAGCTCCACAGGCTCAGTTTCCTCCAGAGCTGGTGGCTGCGGGGCCTCAGGGTCTGGGGTTTGGAGCTCCTCGAGGGGCTTTTCCCGGGGGAACGACGGGCATCGGGATCAGACCGGGCATGACTCGTCCTCAGGGGGGGGTCCCGGCGCTCAGACTGCCCCCCAACACTCTGCGTCTGCAGCTGCAACAGAGACTGCAAGGACCACAGCAGGTAGGAGGGGTGGCTTTATGTAGTTTTTCATAACAACTATATTCAAATTGGGATGGAGGATGCTATAAAACAGGGGTGTCAAACTCAATTTAATCGCGGGCCACATCAGCATTAATCGTTGCACTCAAAGAGCCGGTTGTAACTTTAAGACTACATAAATATACATATTTAAATATATATAAAATAATGTATTATATTACATTATTGCCTCTACATTGGATTATTATCTGATAGGGTAATAACTTCATCATTAACTACGTCTGAAAGCAGAAGTCTAGGGCAAATAATTGCAAGTCTCTTTAGTGCACATGTCACAAAATGAATATAGTTGTGACTATGTACAGTCAAACCTGTGCAAAGAGAGTTATGGCGCATTTCCACTGCAGGGCCTCGCACGGCTTAGTACGGTATAGTTGGTAGGCCAGGCTCACTTTATGCTGCGTTTCCATTACAGTTTAGTAGCTGGGGCAGTAACCATAGTAACGCAGTGTAGGCGGAGCCGTGACGTCATCTTCAATGAGAACCACAAAACCAACATCAGCCGTTAGCTGTTAGCACTCAGAGCTCACAGCTCCTCATATCTGTTCAGAAACTAGACACAAGTGAAACAAGTACTAACCACAGACTGCCTGTGTCATGGAGAATACAGTCGCTGCTTTATTTATGTCTGTAGGCCGTTGTTGTGAGTGTGGATGGTCGGAGCATATACTGCGTTAGCTTAGCCGATCTCCATTCAGAAAACACGCATTTTAAAAGGTGTTTCGCCTGCCGTCTGTCTGCAGACTTGACAAAGCATTAATTCATGGTTTTTACTAACCGGTATCAGTATGTTGTTACTTCGGCATCATTTTGAAACGTGTATTACAATTAAATCACGGTCAAATATGTCCATCTTGTTGTAGTTGTAGCCCCCTTGCCAGCGCTTCTCTCTGACCATTCAGCAGTCGAGAGTGTTTACGTCACTAGTTTAGCATATTCAGCCCGGTTGTTGGCCCGGGAAGAACCTCGATTTTGGAGGGCCAGAAAAACTGTGAAAAAGTAGCCCTGAGCCGGAACTACCCCTAGTGGAAAAGCAACAAAAAACGGGCCGGGTTTGGCATGCTTAAACCGTGCTACGCGCTGCAGTGGAAATGCGCCATTAGAGTTGTGATGTATTCTTCTGATTCAATGACTTCAAATCTAACATAAAAAAGTAAAAGCAAACACATTTGAGTTTTTTTTCACACTTTCTCTGCTCTAAGTGCTTTCACATACTTTTCAAATGCTGAGAGGTGTAATGAAGCACAAAGTATTGACTCAAAGCTTTCTCTTTTAGTCTAAATCAGGGGTGGGGAACCTTTTTCCTCTCAAGGGCCATTTCAATTTCTTCAACATCCTCCGAGGGCCGTACAAATGATTGACCTCTGCTTAAAAAAACTAAAATCACAGCCCATTCATTTCGCCTTTCTTTCATGCTGTGCAAAGAAAAAGCAACCTCTTAATCCAGATCTCTTATCATGACTCGCGCATGCATGCATGTGCACGGTTGTGGCATGACCACCAAAACAGAAAGATATGGACACAAGATGTGTGCAAATGTATTTAGTATCCTATCCATGTGAACAAGGGAAGATTTTTTTTTTAAATGTTGAAGTTAAAAGCATCAATCTGGTGCACTTTGAGAGCAACATTAAGAGATCTATGGATACATCTCTCAACACCCATATGAAACAGAACTGTAAGCAGATTTTCTTTTTCTTTATGGATATTTTACAAATCACTCCCCTTTCAAACTGTATTCTTGTTTATTAATAACAACTTTTGTTTACTGTCATATAGTATTTTATACCCGTTTACTTTATTCTCTTATTTTTTTATAACTATAATGATCATATAAAGATGTGCCTTTACCTCACTGGTTGTAGAGTAAGCTTCTTATATTCGTTAGCATAGCTAGCTAACCAGATGCTAAGTTATTGACTGTATGACAGATGAACAGATCGCCACTGGGCTTTCAACTAAAGACACAGCCACGCAAAAACTGCGGCATGTGTACGGCTCCTTATGGGTACTGCAATTTTTGGAAGTGCCAGAGCCGCGTTCTGGTGCTCTCCGTCAGAACTGCACCCCTGTCAGACGAGACATATACCACGTGATGACACGTTAGGCTCGTGTTGTGTTCAAGGACCCTGACCTTGGCCAGGAAAAACAGGTTCCCCACCCCTGGTCTAAATCCTACAATAGCTCTTATTTAAATGTATAAGTATTGATTACAAAGCTCTTTAAAGAACTCCCCTGTCCTCCATCATCACTAATACATCTCCCCTCCCATCCGTCTTCTTTTCTGTCTCCAATAATGTTTTTCTTCTGCCTCTGATGATCTGATTGATTTGTTCTGTATTATTAAATCCTGCCTTCCTTTTACTCTACTATCATCATCTACCTTCTTCTCTTTCAACACCTGTCTGACTTCATGTTTCTCTCTTTCTTTTCCTCAGCTGCAGAACAGGATGTCAGGCATGACGGCGTTTCCTGCAGGAACCCCCCCGCATGTGAACATAGGGATTCGTCCGGGGGTCCAACAGCCTCAGATGCCCTTGCAGGTGGGTCACACACACACACACACACACACACACACACACACACACACACACACACACACACACACACACACACACACACACACACACGTGTTGTAGTCAAGTCACCAATTCACGAGTCCAAGTCACTCTCGAGTCACCACTCTTCGAGTCCGAGTCCAAGTCCGAGTGTCCGAGTCGAGTCCGAGTCATCATTACCTGTGTTCGAGTCCGAGTCCAAGTCCGAGTCACCCAAGGAGTGTCCGAGTCCGAGTCATCGTGCGCGAGAATTCACGAGTCCAAGTCCGAGTCGCGTCAATCAGTGCGCGAGTCCGAGTCGAGTCACGAGTCCCGAAAATCGGCACTCGAGTACTCCATCTCTGACACACACACACACACACACACACACACACACACACACACACACACACACACACACACACACACCTGTTTATCTACAGAGCCGGAAACACAACCAACATCATTTTGTTTACATCGATTCGAACACTTTGAGGAAATATAGCTTTGAGCTGCTGTAATCAATAATTTCCTTTTCACAGTGAATCAAATAACTATATGCAGGGTTGTTTGTATTGATTGTTGTTGATGGAGCATTTGATTATCTATATGGGGTTGTTGTTGTTCTGGTAACTTGCATCATTTCCAGCAGGAGCAGAACAAATAAAGTAATTAACTAGCTTGTGAACAAAGTGGAGCGTTTAGTCGCTAAACAGGTATTTTCTACCGCCATCTGTAGAGACTAAAAGCAGAGCAAAGAGAGTCGATATTTACTATCTAATATACATCATTTGATCAGAAACGCAACTCAAATTAAAGCTTTTTTTCATCCAGATCTGTTAGATGTGAAGCATAATTGTTAACAACAGCATTTCACATTGAAAGATAGAAATATTCAATGTTGTGTTTAGCTAATTCTGCTGGTCAGTGCGGTTGAAAAATCTATTAATGCAGGTTCTACAGACAGACACACAGACAGACAGACAGACACACAGACACACACACAGACACACAGACACACAGACACACAGACAGACACACAGACAGGACACACAGACAAGACACACAGACAGACAGACACACACACAGACAGACACACAGACAGACACACAGACAGGACACACAGACAGACACACAGACAGACACACAGACAGACACACAGACAGACACACAGACAGACACACAGACAGACACACAGACAGACACACAGACAGACACACAGACAGACACAGACAGACCCAGACAGACACACAGACAGACACACAGACAGACACACAGACAGGACACACAGACAGACACACAGACAGGACACACAGACAGACACACAGACAGACAGACACACAGACAGGACACACAGACAGACACACAGACACACACACACACACACACAGACAGACAGACACACAGACAGACAGACAGACAGACAGACACACAGACAGGACACACAGACAGGACACACAGACAGGACACACAGACAAGACACACAGACAGGACACACAGACAGGACACACAGACAGGACACACAGACAGACACACAGACAGGACACACAGACAGGACACACAGACAGGACACACAGACAAGACACACAGACAGGACACACAGACAGGACACACAGACAAGACAAACAGACAGGACACACAGACAGGACACACAGACAGACAGGACACACAGACAGACACACACACAGACAGACACACACACAGACAGGACACACACACAGACAGGACACACATACAGGACACACAGACAGGACACACAGACAGGACACACAGACACACACACAGACAGGACACACAGACAGGACACACAGACAGGACACACAGACACACAGACAGACACACAGACACACAGACAGACACACAGACACACAGACAGACAGACACACAGACAGGACACACAGACACACAGACAGACACACAGACACACAGACACACAGACAGACACACAGACACACAGACACACAGACACACAGACAGGACACACAGACACACAGACAGGACACACAGACAGGACACACAGACAGGACACACAGACACACAGACAGACACACAGACACACAGACACACAGACAGGACACACAGACACACAGACAGACACACAGACACACAGACACACAGACACACAGACAGGACACACAGACACACAGACAGACACACAGACAGAATTGAGGTGCTGCAAAGAAGTCCTGGCCTAAAAACAGTATTCTATAGACTAGGGCTGCACAATTTGGGGAAATAATCTAATTGCGATTTTTCTGACAGATATTGCGATTCGATTTGCGATATTTGTTTTTAAGCGACCCAACGGAAGTTTATTGTAAAATGCGGCCATATCTCCAGCTAGGAAGGTCGTAGAGCTCCTGTCTCTGGCACCCCCGCAGCCCGAGCTACGAGTGAAAGAACTAAACTTACATGAAACTTCTGTTGGGATGCTTTAAAGTCAAGCTTCAGTTTAAGATTCACCCTGTAATAGATAACATGTGATGGAGCATTACTAACCTGACTCAGATGCTTTGTTTCACCATCTAGGAAAGCTCCATTTGGAAAAGTATTTCAAAAGTACTTTGCAGGTGATTGGATCAATCTGTCTTTCACCTACTATCATGGGCCACTTCTGATTGGTTAACAATGGCTGGTACATGTGGAGCACAGCACTTCTGACTAGTGTGGCTGACTGACACACAAGAAGAACAAAAAAAACAGCTTTGCGATTTGATAATTGCATCATTTCAAATTTTGATTTAAAATCGATTAATCGTTCAGCCCTACTATAGACTCGATAATAAATCCTGGAACAGATCACACCGTGATTATTTTAATATAATATTGAAGTCTTCATTAAAAACTCACCTGTTCACCATGGCCTTTGACCCCTAACCCATCACAGCTTCCACTCCTACTGCGGCCTTGGGTCCCTTGAAAGGCGCTATACAATTGTAATCTATTACCATTATTATTATTATATATTTTCAATGTTAATAGAGATATTATCTTTACGAATGATCACTCTAATGTCCAGTCTTTTTACAATTGCTGCAGCTCTCCCAAAGTGTATTGTATATTACTTTGAAGAAAAGTCAATAATTCTTTCTCTGTAACGTGCCCTTTTCATTTTTTTTTGTAATTTACTTTTTATTGGCAAACATTGTCACAGAATATTGTACATGGTATCTTTACATGAATGACATACATCTGTTCATAGTTGCTCTTTTCCACGGTGTCTCTCAGCAGCCTCCCCTGAACGCCCAGATGCTGGCCCAGCGTCAGAGGGAGCTCTACAGCATCCAGCACCGTCAGAGGCAGATGTTCCAGCAGAAAGTCCTGCTGATGAGGCAGAACCTGGCCGTTGCTCCGACTAAAGGTCCTCCAACAACGCCTCAACCGCAGCAGCAGCAGCAGCAGTTCAACTTCCCACCAGGGTACAACAGCCCAATGACGGGAAAACCCCCTACCTCACCGAGTCCCTTCAGCCCCCTGTCCCCCGGGGCTCCTCTGGACAACAAGCTGCCCGGCAGAGTCCCTTTGAGCAACCCCGCACTGATGAGTGGCGTTCAGGGCCAGTTCAGCAGCTCCGTCAACGCCTCGCTGCAGCAGGGACTGTTCCAGCAGTTCGGAGGGGCCGGTGAGTTTGTAGAATCTGTTTTATATAATCATGTGTTTCAAGCCATACTAGTGAGTATTTGTTCGAAAAATCTCACTCGTCACCGGCTTGGTCTTCAATATCAGGATACATGTATTTATTATCCTTGCAAGAATGGAAGTAGTCATCACACACAGGGCTGCGTGGAACAAATAGTTCCCAGAGTAGAGTCCTTGATATGCTGATATACAAGAGAGGGTGTTACAGTCAACAAGATGGAAGAATACTAGGGGTGTAGCGGTATACGTATTCGTACTGAAAATATTCGGTATGAGCCCTTCGGTTCGGTACACGTAACGAACGAATATAACGTTAAACGTAAAAAGTTGAGAACGTGAACAACTTTTTGGAAGTGATCTCAGGTGCTGTGTCGCAGCGTTCAGTGTAATTTGCTCACATTGGGTTCAACGCGTCATAGAGCGACCAAGTCATTTCATTGGACGAGAGGCATACTATGAGAGCTGGTCACAGGGATGCGTTAGTATTGAAGACATTGAAGTCTCCGGTTTGGGAACATTTTGGTTTCGCAGTTACGTACAAGGATGACGGACAAAGACAGGTGGACCGAACCAAAGCTGTTTGTCGGCATTGTTCAACTAAAATTGGCAATACATCAAACTTGCACACTCATTTGAAAAGGCATCACCCGAACGTGAATATCACCGGTACCAAAAGAAAAATGACTGAAGTGCAAACCCAACTCCCACTAGCATTTAAGCCTCCACCACTCGCAACAAGTTCAGACCGAGCCAAAGCTATTTCAAACGCCAAATATCCTTATGTTGCCATGTTAGCAAAGCGCTACCTGGCTGTATCTGCTACCTCTGTCCCTAGCGAGAGGGTGTTCTCCACAGCAGGAGACATTGTTAGTGCCAGCAGATCTGCCCTTTCGGCAAGTAATGTGGACAAGTTCATCTTTCTTAAAAAAAACATGAAAATACAATGACAAGCAAGTCCTAATGTCAAGCTGGCTGCTTAGGTGAGTACAGTACAGTTCAAATACAGATTATTTCAGTTCATCGAAATGCTGCACCTTAATGTTTATTTTATTTTATTTTGTATTTATTTGAGCTAATACATTATTCACAGTTTAATAATAATTAAAACCCCCCAAAAAAATATGTTATGTTTTGTGATCATTTTTTCTGCTGTACCGAACCGTGACCTAAAAACCGAGGTACGTACCGAACCGAAATGATTGTGAACCGTTACACCCCTAAAGAATACTGGTTCAAAGCAGTATTCTGACATTAGTTAAGATTAGCTAAGGCCTGCGTAAGCAATAAACATGACAGTCATATGCCTATCTCTCTAGGGGCTGTGTCATCATGCCAATCTTAGGAACATCATAACTTCAACACAGTGTCTCATGAGCGTCATCCATGTAGTCATACATCCGGCTACGTACACAGCTTCTGTTATCATGTGCTACTCTGATATAGAAGGAACATTCAGTATTTTTCCAACAGTATTCATTTAGTTTCTGGAAGGAGGCCGATCTATTCTATTAGAGAGCAGGAGAGGACGCTGGCACGGTCTGTTGCCGCTTCTCCCCCCGTCTTCCTTAGCCAATTTTTGTTATTTTTAGCAAGGATTCTATGGATGTTTTTACTAACGCCCCTTGTAGCACTTTGAAAGGTGCTTTACAAATAACATTTATTCTTATTATTATTATTTGTATGACCAAGAGTTGTCTATATTGGCATGTGTGGTATCAGCAGAAAAGGGTCATGGAACCTAGAATTATTTAAAGTCTGGGGGAACAGAAAATGCAATTTGACACTATGAGGTCAGGAAGAGTTCAACTACGCATGCACTTTGAGGCGCATATATAAGCTGTAAGATCTTCTTAGTATGTAGGGTAGGGGCATTACGCTATTGACTCTGTGTTTTATTGATTCCTCTTTGTTTTATTCTCTAATGTTGTGAGTGTTACATCAGATCCACGACATTTTCAAGGACACATCTTCTACCATATTTACAAGACCAGGCTAATAATACACATAGAAACATATCAAATCCACACTTGTTTTGCTTCTCCTTATGGTGGATTTCATCTTTAATTCAAAGGTCAAAGGCTTTATTATCATGTCCAACAGTTACAGCCTTGTTAGTGCACATCTGAATCCCCAGGCTCCTCCAACAAACAATATATTTAAGACTTTCAGAGAATGAAGAAATAAAATAGTCGAATGAAATAGTTATAGTGAATTTAAGAAATGCATTTTCCTCTTTTAAAGTAATCGCCCAGGCAGACCCATCTTTCCCTCCGGAGATGAGCCCGACCAGCCCGTTGTTGTCACCTGAAAACTCAACCTCCCAGAGTCCTTTGCTGCAGCAAGCCCCGCCCCCTGGCTACCAGTCACCAGAAATGAAGAGCTGGCAACAGACCGGCATGAGCAGCAACAGGTAAGGAACAGATGTTGTGCAAACATTAAAGGTCCCCTATTATACTGTTTATCATCAATATATCACAGGTCTCAGATATATACAGAGCCTGTCTCTGATTGGCTGAAACACCAAACAGATCATTGCAGCGTCCCATAATCCCCTCTGTTTCAGCCCTGTTTCCAAAGTGCTGATTCTCTGTCTGTTACTTTAGATGAAAATAAGGAGCCCCTCCCCACGCCCCTCTGAGAGACATTTGGTTACAAAGAACACAATGGTGCTCTAGGAGGAGATTCGGGGGGGGGGGGTTACCTTGGTTGCTGATTGGCTAATGGTTACACAAGACAAAACATCGTTATGACATCATAAAGTGGCCAAAATCTGATCAGCTCATTTTCAGACAGGTTTTTATATAAATGGATCAGGACAAAAAGAGAGAGAATCTTTGTTCCTGAAACTTTCAGAGTCTCTTTACACAGAGGGGACACATTTTGCATAATAGGTGACCTTTAAATGTGGTAAAATCCCCTGTTTGTTACATGATTATAATTAAAATTAGATATATTTGTAATGCTCTGATTGTCTGTGTGCTGCAGCCTGTTCAGTGCGTCAGGACAGAGTGCAGGGCAGGCGTTTGGCCAGCAGGGGGTTTACAACAACATGAGCATCACCGTCTCCATGGCGCCCCGGGGGTCAGGGGTCGGATCTCTACCCGCCATGGGGCAGCCGGTGGGCCTCAGCAACAGTAACCTCAGCAACGTGGGCTCAGTGTGCAGCGACCAGCAGGTCAGTGGATACGAAGCTCAACGGAGTTTAATGTCACGATAGGGATCTGTCAGTCCATTTGTCACCCATCCAAAGAATCACCCAAAACCCACCTGTTCAACACTGCATTCAACCTCTGACCATCCCCCCCCCCCCCCCCCCCCCCCCTTTTCTGTTTGTCTCTTTATGTATTTTAGTTTTCTTCGTTTTCTTCTCTGTCAAAGCATCTTTGAGTTTTCAGAAAAGCGCTATATAAGTGTCATGTATTATTATTATTATTATTATCATCATTATACCACCTGACTTTGGAGACCTTTCCTCAAAATGTTTTTTTGACATGACGTCATTATAGACGCATCGATATTTTATTCTTTCAGTCAATACGCGATTGTATTTTGAAAACAGTTTGCATACATTGGATATTATGCCACTAAAACGTTTCTGTCCATAGTGTCATAACCTCATGGGATAATCAGGCGGGTTTTTACCAGATTTCCTTTAGATTTATGGTTTACTTCAAGGATATATATATATATACATGATACAATGTTCACACGTGCCTCATGATGTTTTAACAGTTCGCACACAGCGACTATAATGCCACACATATAATACATGCACGTTGACCGGTTTATTCTTCAGCGTCAAAGAACAAGGATTAAGATACGCCGCTAAGGAACAAAGTTTGACAACAGGAGAGTATTGTAACTTGGTGCAGTTTTGGAGATAAATGTAAGTGATTTACTTTAGCTTAAATGGACCTACAATACTTCTGATGCAGTAGCATAACTATGTCCCGGCCCTGTCTAATTAAATAATAGGTTTATTTAGTATAGCACCTTTCACAGAAATAGAATTAAAAAAAAAAAGGGCTTCCCGAGAAAGAACAAAGGTTAAAATTAAGACCCACAGAAACATGAATACAATAACAACATGAGGCAGAAATGTAAGGTTAACATTAGGGATGCTCCGATCGATCGATCGGCCGATATTCACTCTCTGCCGATCGATCGGTGCTCTCTATAAAGGCCGATCGTGAGAGCCGATCACATGACGTAAAATACATGACACGGTGCGCGGCAAAACAAGCTCGCCAAAATGGCTTCACCAGTCAGGCAGTATTTGAAGGTGTCCGAAAATGACAATAAAATAGCGGCATGCAACGTGTGTGAAGCAGAAATCCTGCAGCTCCACCTGCTGTGACGGACCGGTGAGCGGAGCAGAACACACATTAAGAGTTAGACCTAACACACTTAGCTATTTTATCTACCTCTGGAACAAGCTAAACTAGTTATAAATATATGTATTCTTCACTGTCGGGTCACTCATTACTGGATCAGTGAGCTGCAACTGATGGGCTGTCGAGAGAGAGAGAGAGAGAGAGAGAGAGACTCCGCTCATTTCTCCCGTGATATTATCCAAAGTTAATGTAAACTTGAATAATGTACTTCATTTGAATGTAATAATTATGTTGGTTGTTGTTTGTGGAAGCGCCAGTGAATGATCCCCATTAACTGAGTTTTAAACATCACTTTAAATGGAAGATCCCCATAGGCCCCGCCCACTCGATCATCCCTAGTTAACATAAAAACAAAACACAGACCACGTGGAGTCCCGAAAGCAACAAACAAAAGAACACATCACACACATCTCAAGTAGAAACAAAAGCCAATGTAAAAAGATAGGAACTACTGGTCCCTGTATCATCGTTTGTTCTCTGCCCCTGCAGGTGCAGCAGGTCCAGGTGTTTGCAGACGTCCAGTGCACCGTGAACCTGGTTGGCAGCGACTCCTCCTACCTGAACGCGGGTCCCATCGGAGCGCTGGCCCCCCAGAAGGGGCCTCAGGGGACCCAGAACCCAGCAGCCAATCAGAAGAGCCTCCTCCAGCAGCTGCTCACCGAGTGACGACGCCTCAACGACTCCTCCTCGGCCCCTCTTTTACTCTCCTCTGTCTCACTTGTACACCTCGGAGGTCGGAGCACCATTTGCCGTCTCTGTCTCACCGCTCGGATGGAACGATGGATTCTTTTGGGATGCTTTGACGCCCAAATCAGTGGAGGTTTGGAGTCACTCAGCCTCACCACTTCTGGATCTTGGTACTTCTTTTGAGAGAAAAGTCAGAAGGAGCAGCAGTGTATTTAAACCTGCCTGTCTAATCTGTCTGACAACCTGTCTGTCTGCCTCAGCCTATCAAAAGGCAGTGTTGTCTTGCTGCTCATTCCTTGGTGACCTACTTCCTGCTTCCTTAACCCGAGGAAAAAAAAACAACTGCAACATTATTGTAGATTTGCCAAGTTGTTGTCACTGTCAAATCAGGGCCGGGCTCCGTTTATTTTGTTTCTGTCGCAACAGCAGCAGTGCATCTTGGGAGCTTTGAGTTGCAGCATACAGCTGAGCTCATCATTTTTAAAGTGTCGGGGTTAAAGTATCCCACACGGCAGCCCCTCTGGCTTTTAATTTGTATTCTTTGTGTTTTGTTCACTCTACCTGTCTCTCAGCGATGTGGGAATGTTAATGTTTCAGACCTCTGTTGCATTGTGGGATAGAAGCTCAGTATCAGCTGGTTCTGTGACTGTCTCTCTCTATCAGCTACAGTGCCTTCTACTACATATTATTCTAAATACGTCTTCTGTTTTTATTGTTAAATGAAAATTCTGCTCTCACCGTCATCATCATTTTCATCATCACTTCAGAACAAGCTTTGACAACAGCCAGCGTGGATTGGACGGATGGATTTGATGGATGGGAGACAGATGGGATGCTGCTCAGTTTTTACGTGTCTTTCTCCCCTTCCTAACCAAGGGAGGGGGGGTTTATTTTTATTTTTTCAAAGTATAAGAAAAGAGACTGTTATGATTATTTAACTGTCTGTCCGTCACATTTTACCCCTCAGCTGTGAATACGGAGCCCTGTTGGGTTCTCTCTCTCTTTTTCTCTGTGTATCTTCATGCTATCTCTCAGCCTATCAGTGTTTGGGTAGTATTGTACAGTACAGAAGGACAAAGACTTGGGGATGAGCGTCTCTTGTAACTGCATATTTCTTTAAAAAAAAAGATAATAGCCGCTTTCACACCAAGTACTTTGCCGTACTTAGTTCCCAGCACTTAGTACCCAGCACTTAGTACCCAGCACTTAGTTCCCCCATGGAACCAAAGAGCCGATCGCGTTCACACCGGAATAAGTTCCCTGAGGGAAGATTACGCAAATGAAGCCGCTGACGTCACTTCTTCTTCTTCTGCTTTGGGTTTACTGACAGGCCGCAAACAACTTCACGGCGTATACTGCCACCCAAAGTCCCCGGCCGGAAGTCCCTGGAGCTGGGGACCGGCTTCAGTCGAAGCTGCTGGACTCCCAGCAGCTTCGACTGAGGACTTCCGAGTAAATCGCCAGAACGCCGACACCTCCTCATCTCCACCGCTCACATGTATTCTTTTGTGTTGCCATAAGTTATTCTCTCTCCGTTGGTGCGCGGAGCTAATGCTAATGCTAATAATGCTAATGCCAGCAAATACAATGGCGGCTTCACAAAACTTTTCCGAGTTTTACGGGGCGTGGTTTGCAATCCGCCCAGCCAATCAGAAATTGGAACTTTTCCCCCCTTTTCAGTCCCTGCTAGAGAGCAGGTACTTTCCTGGGGAGAAAAGTTCTCATGAACTAAGTTCTCTTTTTGGTGTGAACGCAAAATCCCAGGAACTATCGGAACTAAACGGGAAAAGTACGGGGAAAAGTACTCCGGTGTGAAAGCGCCTACTGTAATGAATTACTCAGAAAAGTATGTATAACGTGGATTGGATCTAGGGTTTTCTTTTGTTTAATTATAATGGTTTATTTCTGGCACCATGATATTGTAAAAAAAGAAATATTGAAAGCAATTTATTATAAGATATATATATATAGCTCCCTTCTGCATCACATTCAGCGCTATATAAGACACCACAGTACATAAAAAAGAAGGTTTGATTGCTTTGCTTTCTCTCGTGGTAAACAGGGAGCTAGACGGCCATCTTCTCCTGCTTTCTCTCGTGGTAAACAGGGAGCTAGTAGACGGCCATCTTCTCTTGCTTTCTCTCGTGGTAAACAGGGAGCTAGACGGCCATCTTCTCCTGCTTTCTCTCGTGGTAAACAGGGAGCTAGTAGCCGGCCATCTTCTCCTGCTTTCTCTCGTGGTAAACAGGGAGCTAGTAGACGGCCATCTTCTCCTGCTTTCTCTCGTGGTAAACAGGGAGCTAGTAGACGGCCATCTTCTCCTGCTTTCTCTCGTGGTAAACAGGGAGCTAGTAGACGGCCATCTTCTCTTGCTTTCTCTCGTGGTAAACAGGGAGCTAGTAGACGGCCATCTTCTCTTGCTTTCTCTCGTGGTAAACAGGGAGCTAGTAGACGGCCATCTTCTCCTGCTTTCTCTCGTGGTAAACAGGGAGCTAGTAGACGGCCATCTTCTCCTGCTTTCTCTCGTGGTAAACAGGGAGCTAGACGGCCATCTTCTCCTGCTTTCTCTCGTGGTAAACAGGGAGCTAGACGGCCATCTTCTCTTGCTTTCTTCTCTTTTTTTATTCTTATGTATGTACAATACTTTCAAGAGAACTTGTCAGACAGTACATGTGTTTGTAACCATTCTATAAAAGAAATAATAATATCTTAAAATGCGTTTTTTTGCTGGTGATGCTAACGGTACCTAGCCGCAGCCACATGTAATCACAGCAAAAAACATTTTGGATATTGTTCCTATATAATGACATTTAAGTAGAGGCGTTAGTAATAGAAGTTCCTGACAAAGATGTGATGGATCATTTAAAAGCTGTCATGAAATCGAATCGAAACAGGATGGGTTGAGTCGCCAAAAAAACACTTTTATTTTCTCCTGTTTTATTATTTTTTTGGGATTCAACCCTCTTCTCCCTCCACCTCTGGTTCCCTGATGAAGACTTCACTCCACTGGCTAAACACACACACAGTTTTCTGTTGACTACTGTTGCTCAGTCAGACACTGGCCCAATCCCAAACCACACCCTACCCCTCTGAGTGAACTCCGTGGAGTGACACTCGCAGCGCAACGAAGCTCCCTCCTGTCAGATGGAGGGAGTAAATACAGCGGCAAGCTTTGGGACAAACTCCCCTCTCTCCGGCAGAAACAGGAAATGCCGTAACTGTATGTAACAACGGTTTCAAATCAGCATCTCTTAGACAACAAATACAAATTAAGAACTAAAATAAAACTCCAAACACCTTTAATTGTGTATTTTAGTTTTAAACCTGATATATATATATATATATAGATATATTTATAAGCTTCTTAGTTTTTGCAACAGGCTGTAAATATACACAACTTTATAATAATAGGTATACGATCCTAAGTTAAACAAATATGAGGTTATCATGAGGTTGTTAACATCGCAGTTTATCAGTGGATGTTTGCTGGAACTGTTTGTAAACAGCTTGTTTCCTGACGGACACGCACAGCGTTGAGTCCGGTCAGGTAGGGCAGCACGTGAAGTCAGCACCGACACAGACTCGCTGTTTGAGGGCTTGATAACCCACTCCCACTCGTTGGTTTGGAACAGCACTTAATGTGGCGGACCCTCCGCGCGAACGCGCAAACGGAGGGGTAGTGTACAGGGCGTGGTTTGGGATTGGGCCACTGTCTCTCTCAGCGATAACAGACCTCTGTTGACAAAGAAAACATCGGAAAAGATGTGCGGATTATAATGCACACTGACAGGAAGTTGAGAAGAAAAAGGACAAACCTTACAGAGATGTTGCCTCTAAATGATTACATGATTTTTGAATGATCTGGATATTAGAAATAAGAAAAGTCTGACATATTAAAGGGGCCCTATTATGAACTTTGTGGCGTTCCCTATCCTGTAGTTTTAGTGCATGTAAATGGTCTGCAAAGGCTAAAATCCCTGTTCCCTTCCAGTTTACTTCAGGAACATAGTGACATCACTATTGAACACTCGCGCTCCCATTGGCTGGCGCTTAAACACATTGTACTTGAAGGGGCGGGACATCTCTTAGCGGTTGACATGTCACAGTAGAGACACAAAATATGAACCTGAAAATAAGCATATGTCCTCTTTAAGCCAAAATATTAGTGTACGATTCTTAAATCTGTCTTTTGAGTAGTGAATTAGAAGATATTTAGTGATTTAAAACAACCACAAAAGCCCTTTTTCTGTCAAAAATGCCACAACATCCCTGGTCTTGGTTTGTCTGAGACAGTAGTGGATTCTGTGGAGAGGGTTTTTTTTCTTTTGCACACAGCGCAGACCTCACATTCAAGATTTTGGGACGTTTCTGTAAAAAGAGAAAATGCAACTACCTAACTCCTCACTCATTGCACTCTGACGCTCCCTTCAGTGGAATAGGGCTCTCCTGTGTACAGAGATACTTCAATGTATGCAACAGATAAAAGAGGGATAGTATGCAAAAGGTCGACATTCCACACACACTCCTCCGATGTCGTACGATGTGAGAAAACCACTTTGTGCTCAGCTGTGTGTCCAAACAGAAGGGCTCTCACCTTTTAAAGTGTTTCTCTAACAAGTCTGCAGAAACACTTTTTACACATGATTTACAGAGACTTTCTGAGATTTTATTTTTCTATTTTTCTGTGTGTATATTTATTAGAAACCATCAGTAGTGCACCTTTTTATTACCTCATTATTATTGTTTTCTTTATCAGAGTCTTTCCTTTTTGCCGTGAGTTCACACTGTGAGTTTTGTTTGATCAGATGTCTCTGCTTTACTCTTTGGCAATGTTGCATACTTGTATTCAACAAGGCTGGCTACCAAGCACTTCTAAGGAGGACAAATATGTATCTAAAATCTGAGGTTTAGGGTGCCAATAACGATGATTTTTATACAATTTAATTAACTGTTAGGTCTGTAAAATGACGAGAAACGGTCCATCACAGTCCCCCCGGGTGCATCTACACACTTTTGTTCGACCATATCTAAAACATATTCAATTTAAAATCGTATATAGAAGAGGTCAAGCAAATCCTCACAGGAAAATCTGGAAACAGCCGATATTGGTCATTTTTGCATGATAAAAAAACCCAAAATAAAGCGTGATTTCCAGCTCTCATGAGATTACCATTAGTTTATACTTTAAAAAACGTGTTTCATCCAGATCGACCTGCAGTTTTATGTAAACATGTCTCGGATAAAACTGTCTATATACCTCCAAACTGAGACGTTGCTTGTCCAAGTCCACCTACACGCTTTTAATCGAAACAGTACGAAACATATTCAATTTGAACTCTTATATAAAACAGGGAAGCATTAGGAACACAGGACATTCTGGAAACAGTAGGTGATGCCATTTTCTGCTTTAAAAGCCAAAATAAAACTCAACATACATGTAGAAAACTTAGATACAGCTCACCTGAGATTAGCATCAGCAGATAATGTCAAAAAAGGTTTTATCAAGATCGACCTGCAGCCCTCCTCCAGTTTTTAACAGTTGAATTCCTCTTTCGTTCTTTGATGATATGCACTTGTACCTCCCCTTGTTTATTTTAAAAGTAATGGAACATTTTAGGGTGCGAACTAGGAGCAAAAATGTTTGTTCAAACAAACATCTGTAGATTTGGAGGTTTTTTATATGCCTGCACTTCGA